TGATTTGATATAATTGAATAGTTGTTCATATCATTGTGTCTCTTCTTCTTGCCAACTGGTAGAATTTGGCTGAGACTGACCAACTTTTAGAGAATTAACGAATTCAACCTTTTGATTCAAAGTGAGCTCTAACAAAGAACACAATGTGATGGCACTTTACTATTGGAAAGTTTTGAAAACTAGTCACAGTTTTCAACTTGCAATTTTTCACTTGCATCACTGTGTAAAGGGTGAAATCTTAATTTGAGAAATAAAATGTTCTTTAAAAATTTCAACCATCATTACAAAATTTATTTATTTCAAATGGCGGGCTTTATGACACTTATCATTAGACCTTTAGCTGATTTCGGGCTTCACAGAGGGAAGGTTCATCAAAGTAGCAGAAAGTCGAGGGGTGGGGAAGAGAAGAGCGATTCACAGATGTAAAAGAGGCAGACAGACACAAAGGTAGAGAAAAAGGTAAGGTGAGTACAGCAGAAGGGGTCGAATATGACAACCAGGGCGGTCGTGGTAGTTTGAAGTCAGAAGTCAACTGCCAGTTAATAGACTGTTTTGCCGTATGAGTACACGTTGCCCAGGGTGCACCACGTGGAGGTAAGTCTATCGCACACCCCTAACTATAAAAATGGAAGAGCCTATACCAACCTCGTCCCCCCCCCCCCAAAGATACTTCGGCCCCGGCAGTTCCCCATTCTGTCCCTCTTCAACCTGAACCCTATTACACTCGCTACGGCCGCAAAGTTACCTTCCCCTCCCGGCTGGCCGACTATGTACACTCGATATGTAGAGGGTTTTCTTTCTCCTTTTAAGTTCCTAAAAACGCTCTAGAGGGGGAGTTTTGTGGGATACGTCATAGCTTAACACGTCATCGCATTCTTGCACGCCAGGATTGGGAGGTGCGATCGTACAAACAGTGATTAATCATTAACCTAATCCGCCATCCTGATCATGATTAAGCTCCCTGCGTGTTCACTTTTCACGTTCTGTATGTAGTGAATAAACGTATCGGTGATACATCTCTTCTTCTATAGACTTGGTAATTGGGCGAATCTCTCGCAAAGGTTTCAAGGACTTAAGCCAGGCTTTACTAGCGTAGAAATCCGCTACAAGTGACTACTCTGAAATCCTCTCCTTCTACGCAGCAGCAGGACACAAGAGATCAATTTTCGAAGGAGAAATAGAAGTCATTCGGAGAGCACTAGTCCATTAATGTTGGCTGGATACGAAATTCACCAAAGCAGTAATCCTTTCGGACTCACAGTCAGAAATAAACTCACTTGGAAGCAGAGAGCCACCCAAAACAGCTGAGATATACGAATATAAAACTTTATTTTTTCGACAATTTCTACATTTTGTAATAAGCGAAATGAAGTTAACTCCTATTTTGTAAAGTCTGTCACAGGATTAGGCAGTTTCTTTGCGTTTCAGTGCGTAACACGTTGTAAATATTTTGAAAATGGTCTCTGACATCAAGGTTAAATAATAATTATAAAAATTGTATTGCAAGCCTCTTCCATACTGTTGTATTAATGACTGATTAATTTAATGTTTGCTCAAAGTTGACCCAGTTTCGTGTCGTTATTGCTGACGAATGGAGATGAAAAGTCAACTTATCTGTGACACATCTCTTCAACCTCAAACGGTTGCCAAGGTGTCAAGAGTGGATTGTCCCAGTAAATCGATATGGACAATGCGTGACTTAGAGGCCACTTGAGGAATTTACCCATCCTGCGACAAAGCAACAACTCTTCTTCATTGATCCCCAATGAACTAATATACGTGAAAGCGTGTTCATCTGCAAGGTCGTGAGGCACCTTCAACAAGGTGTTTGGGGTCTTTTAGCAGGATTGCGACTTACTCTCATCAAATTTCTTATTTGTTTAACACAATCATGCAATTAAGTTTCTGCATTTCTAATTCGTAACAATGCCACGAACGAGCACTTGGTCATGGTGAATTTGCTTCAGTTCGTACCAATTGATGGACTATAGCTTTACCAAGGCTTTGATGGAAACTTCTCAATTAATCCACAATATATTGCAAGTTAGACTACTTCACTGAATGCTGACAGGTTGAGAATTAGATTCGAAATAAGATTTCGGTCGATTTGAGCTAGCAGGGATTTGGCGCGTCCATTAGTTGGAAGTTAATTACATTGCTTATAACTGCTCATTGATTAGTTCACTGGTTTCCCAGTATCAGAGTCATGAGACAACAAACAAGTTGGAATACTTATCGAGAATGCAATTGAGTCCACATGCTAAATGGAGTTTGCCCCACCTTTCTTTCATCAGGCTGGTTCTTTCATTTTGACAAATTTCAACTTCAGCTTCATATTAACCACAAGGCAGAAAATTATTACTCGTTTTCCCAATTTCTCCCTTATCCCACTCCCTCTTCCATTTCTTTGGAGGGCTTCCATTTTCATTTTACTCTCCCTCCCAGGAATGACAATATAATTATCCACATAGTCTTAATGAGAGTCAGTAGTTTTGTAGGGTGTTGCTGAACAGCTCTCAAACCAAACAGTAAAGATCCAGTTCAACAATTCCACAATGATTCATAGTTGATAATTTTGATGAGTCATTAGGAGAGGGTTTGCGAGCATAAGGTGGATTCAAAAATAGATAAATTAGGTGGCAATGATGAAAAGGCCCACTGGGATGAAGTAGAAGGAATGAAGCAGAACGAATGGGAGTTGTACTTTGAATTTCCAAGCCAGTTTCCAGCCACTTATAATCTCATTAAAGACAAGAATGGTAAATAAGTCACATGGTATGAATTTCTATGCGAGTCTCCACAAGGTTTGTTTCGAAAAAGTAGCAACACATATTCTTCTTGGCTGAAAATATACACAAGGCTCAAATAACATGGTTCAGATCTCTCCATTCTCATATGCAGATATGCAACCACTTCTGCGAATGGAGTCATATATACTGAGCATTGGAACTAAGAGGACACCTTCTGATAGGGGAATAAGAAAAGGAGACGAGTTATTCTTGAAATCGAAACGGTGTTTACACTCTACGCCATCATGAAAAGAAAATTCAGGCAGACGCTGACTACGAAGAGACACAAGTTTGGGTCAATGAAGCTTGATTGCACGTCATGTCTAGATAGAACGCACTATATAAAGAGAGACTATAATTTATTTGATCAAAAAATACCCTCAACCGCACTCACGCATACCTCACAGCAGGCTGATGCCTCCAACGTGATGAGTTTTGGTGGCATCAGGCAAAAGGCATAGACACTTATTGAACATTCTTCAAAGAGCAAATGTTTCTTCTGTTACGAGTGTAGTACCAATTGAGCTTATTTTCAAAGGGAACAGTACGACTCTGAGGCCATTAAAGGCTAAACAATATGTTTCCTAACAATTCATATCAATTAAAGCTTAAAACGGCGTTGAAAACAAAGTCTCTTATTTACGGTTAAATTTGTCGTATTTGATGTCTTGAATTTTGCTTGCACCGATTGAAAGGAAATAAATTTGCAAGTCTTCCAAGTCAAAGACCACAGTTTCATTGCTTGCCAGTGCACAAAAAACAGCTAATTGTCCTAATTTCTGTGGCAAAAATTAATCACAATTCACTATACTTTAATTACTATCCTCCTAGCCTATTGCGTACTATACCAAATCGATTCGTCAACTTCTATTTCTAAGTGGGGAGAAACTAGGCCGAAAGCCCTCTTCGTCTACAGCAAGTTTGGGGAGGTATTTTCGTCTCTGAAAATGGATCAGAGACTCGAAAATGGTAAAAAAGAAGGGTGATCCAATGGAAAGGACTGTGGACGCGTGAAAGATTTGGGCAAAATGCGTTAGGTATTTGATTGATCAACCCTGCAACATGATCTGTCATACTATCATGCAAGATTGATCGAAGTTCTGATGGTCAAGTAAAATGAAATGAAATAAAAAGAGGAAATAGGAGAGAGAGAGAGTGTGTGTGTGTATACCTGTCCTTCGGGATTGATTAGCAGGAGATGTCGTTTCTTGCCATTCTGCATACCCGAGAGGACAAACTGGTTGGGCTGCTGAGTGGATGCCCGCACAAGAAAGTCACCGTCGTATTGCAGCAGTGCTTCGGCCTTTTGTCGTGTGATTTGACCCACGTACCAGGGCTCACCCACTGGCTCAAGAGGACGAACACTCTCTCCGATCTCCACTAAAGATTGTGCGCAATTTCCATTTGAATCGAACAACAACAGAGTCTAGGGTCAAATTTCGCTCAACAACACAGCCAAGGAGCAGCCTGAATAGCTTAAGAATTTAATCATATACAGTAAATAGACTCGTCAGAATCTGCGCCGAACAGTGATGAAATTCCATTAGAGAATTTTCCCAACGAATTCGAAATAATCTCCCTTTCATCACTTTAGTAATGAACTCCAAATTTGAAAATCGATATTCACATATAAAATCAATATTTTTTATTGAATATGCCACGTCTTGTTCTTTTAGCCAATTATAAATCGTCACTTTGAATTGCGTGACCCAAGTACCAATAATTGCTGCGGCGTGCGATTTAAATCTTTAAAACAGCAGATTTTCGCGATTAGGTGGGATTCCGAGGTCTTATCTACGAAGCACATTGAAATTCCAACTGTACTTTTGGCCTCCCCAGCACCCCGCCTGTATCCTCATGTCCATTTACAAATGCTACTTAAACACTTTTCAATAGCAAGGTTGTGGACATGTGCAATGAAAATCTTTCCCTAATGTGCCAGGGCTCATCCATTTAGCCAATCATGAATTGTGTGGGCGAGTGGTGCGATTCGCCAACATATAGGAGTATTAATAGGTCTTTACGCGGTTCGGTGGTTCGGTTTGGTCTTAACTTTTCCCTTATTTTTTCTTTTATTTTATGATTGGTTGTGATATTTAATTGGTTCAAGTTAACCAGCCTCATCTTCTCAAGTGGACTATATATCTACTTTGCTAACCATGTTTTCTCATTCAAATTACGGTGAGCTTTGAGTGATTTCGAATGAAAAGTATGCATTAGTTGGTGAGAAACCTGAATTTTCTTTTGTAGTACTTCAAGGCCAGAGAAGAGGCAATAGGAGTTGGCGTAGAAATGAGGCACCTTCGTCATATTCGTTGGACTATGGGTGTGCATGAATTCAAACCTCAAGACAGTGGAAGGGAGAGCAAAGAATGCAGAAGTACTTCAATCTCCTGGAAGAACTACGCTTCCGCTAAATAAGAAACATTGACGAAGTTTTCCAAAAAGTCAATTCTGATGAAATCACCTTCTCGAATTCATCACATTGTCCAAATCATGGACAAATAACAATTAATAATCCCAGGCCAGACCAACAATGGTAAAACGCTGCTAGCCTGTCTTATAACCTCCCATCTTTTGGTAAGACAGCGCGTTAAGTGCTCATTCCATTTGCTTTATTTTTTTCCTTAAAATGCCCTTACTCTCTTCGTGGCGCCTTTTTTAAGGTGGGAACGGTGTGTCATTGTGGTGATTAGACCGCCTTTCATTTCGACAACTTGCTCAATCCCACTAGTGGAGGTGTAATAAAGGTAACAATGGCGGCAAGGAATGTTTATAAGCTCCCCCATGGGAGAGACAGAGTTGAATTTGATGCGAAGTATATAGGAAAGCGGTTTCTGACATGGTTGCTTGTCATAGCAACCACTAGAGAAGACCTTGGCGCCCTCTTACCTCCAATTGACCAGGCGGCACTCTACACTCGAGTAAAGGAATATGCTTTGAATGATCAAATCTCGTCTGATCTAATAGCCGGCACTATTCTCATGTGACCAGTTTCTATGTGTGTGCCTGCCACTTGGAGGAATTATTTAGGAAATGTGGTTTTTATGACCATACTTCGGTGTCTTTATCCCCCTCCTCCCACCGCCCGGTGATGTAGTGATAATTTGTGATACTGCAACAAAATACACATGTTTGTTTTAATGTATTTGTGAAGAATATATATAGTCTTTTAAATGTACAAATAGTCATGTGCTTGATTTTAAACATTAGTGAATATGGGCGGTGAGGAAGCAATCGGTCAGTCTGTACATGAAGTTGAGGGTCTGAAGGGATATTTGAGACGAAAAAGCGGTCTAGGGCCAGAATATAGGACAACAGCAATTTCTAATCCAATCATGATATTTAAGAAAGGGGCGTACGATAGACTTACCTCCACGTGGTGCATCCTGGGCAACGTACTTTCAAATGGCAGGCGTTATGATAGGTATCATGGGGCGTACGATAGACTTACCTCCACGTGGTGCATCCTGGGCAACGTATATTCATACGTTCAAAGTTGACTTCTCACTTCAAACTAACACCCCTCACTCTATGTCATATTCGAATGTTTCCACAGTACTTACCTCACCTTTTTCCTACCTTTGTGTTTATCTCTTACATCTTTGAAACACTCTTCTCTTCCCTCCCCCCCCCTCTCGACTTTTTTTTCAATTTGATGTTCCTTCCCCTCTGTGAAGTCTGAAGCAACTAAAGGGCTAATGATAACCAACAAGACGCCTGCCATTTGATATAAATAAATATTTAAGAAACTGTCAACTAATGGTTTCACTGGTCATGGATTGACTTTAACCGATAGATTATTGGCAACTGAATGCATAATAGATGTCTAACCCATTGGACGAGTAGCCAAAGCTATATTTTCAGAACCCTTCATAGTTTAATACTGGTAATCCACCGATAAGTTGACTCTAAATCCAAAAACAGGCCTCATCATTTTGTGTCATTGTGACGTGATGAATAAGAATCGGTCAAATGGAGTAACCAACCCGATGACAAGCTGATAACGTCGAATTTGACAACTCTAATTACTTGCCGGTGTAACTATCGCTATGGCATTTTCCCGTAGGCTTTAATCCTGGCTCCTAAATATTCAAATGCTCGATTATATTAAGATGTAAACGAACAGCAGATTAATTTGGCAAAGTGTCTGGTATCCAGATGAAAACATTTAGTGTGATTTATTACCAACGTTGCCTATAGCCTCAATGTAAATAGTAGGTTCACAAAGTTTATGCTCACAAAAAGCGTTGCATGAATTACGAACCCCGAGACAAGTCAAGATATGAGTTATGAGAAGATAGTTACTCAAGTACAATAAAAATGAGGCTTTCAAACAAGTATGATTAAGACGAGATCATTAAAAATGACCAATGGTAAGTTTTATGCTTGCTCAAGCTATATGGGCTTAAACAGTCAAAACGTGAATTCCCGTCTTGAATACCATGCATCCACATATTAAGGTAAATAGAGGGAATAAGAGCGATGCAAGGAGATCATGAACACGTGGGAGATTTTTTGGCATAAAAAGTAGGCGGTGCTCTCGAAATATCAATTGGATCCATTGTTCCCCGAAGTCCAATGTGATCAGCAAGAAAGTCCAATGTGCCATATCCACTCATTTACTCTCCAAGCGTGATAACTGTGATAGAAAGGACGCACCTACAAGTGCTATTGTCGGATTCATTTCAAGCCCATTGAAACGATTGCTTTGAAAGGCAGCAGCATGTGTTCTACTCCGAAGTTAAACAAAAAACACCTCTTACCTTTTCCCTACATTACCTATAAATTCTTAACCAGCTAGCTAAATCTCTTTCCCCATTTGATTTGCGTGGAATGCCTTAACTTGTAAAACCAAAGCTTCAATCCTTTTT